GCCGCGCCCATCTCGTTTTCGCTTGCCGCACGGTGTTGTCGGTCATTTGACTTCAAAATAAAGTGCTCACATACTACAGTACACCGGTACCCTAAGGGGAAAAATTGCATAAGAGCATCTGCACCGTGGTACCAGCAGTTCTCAGGTCCCAATAATTTTATTGGGCGATTTACTGGAATTCCAAAAAAATCGTTCGCACCAGTACCAATAGCCAGTAAAAAAGTTACTGGACTCCACTACTCCAACAAATATTCCAGTAAATTTGTTGGAATTTTTGTTGGAGTACTGGACTCCAGTAACTCAACTGACCAATCATATTCATCTACGACTCCATCGATTCGTGGCTTTGTTTCCCATTCCAAGCAAAAAAGCAATGAAGGAACGCTCCCGGAACTTCACCCCACATGAGCAGGTGCAGCTGTGTCACGCATGGCTGAGTGCCTCCCTCATCCTATCGTCGGAAACGATCAAACTGCAAGTCATTTCTACACCCGAGTAGCTGCAGCCTACAACAGTAGTCCTGAATGCACACAGAGGTATAGTGCATGATAAGCTAATTTGCTACTGGTATATGAATGCAAGGGTAACATTTGCAATACTGTACTATAGAACTGGTGATGGTCTCTACATTCATTCACGGGAGAGATACAATCAACAAACAAGTTGCTGCATTCGCGTCGGCGGTCAAACTATCGACATCGATCGTTCGCTCTGGATACAACACCGAGCAGTACATGGCCGACGCGCATGAGTATTTCAAAGCCCAAAAGTGAAACAAGAAGCAAACACCATTTAAATTGGTTCATTGCTGGGACATCCTCAAGGACCAGCCGAAATGGCAGCGTTCATCCAATGTTGCTAGTGATGGACCTGGGGTGGCCGCGGTACCAGCGAGTGTTTTAACAACACCCAGTGCAATCGCACTTGCGCAGGAAAAGCGACCAATTGGGTCAAAACGGGCAAAACTTGCCCAACTGGGTAATATATATCTATATTATTATATTTGTATGATATTTATTTCTACGATATATATAAATATCGAATTAGATGTTGTAAATACTGCCAAGATGCATGCGGATCTTGTTGCTGAAATGGTAGCCAAAAATGCAATCGCCCAACGCGCTTTAGATGCAAAATTGTTTACAGT